GCATGGAAGAAATTCCATGTCTTCAAATCAGAGTTTACGGGGAAGAAGTATTCCATTGATGATCGTATCCGGCTTTTTCAGGGGACGGTTACACCAACCATGCTGTATGGATGCGAAGCGTGGACAGTCACACAGGAACTGGAAAATAGAGTTCGCAGAACACAAAGACAAATGCTTCGAATGATTATCAGGACCCCGCGGCGAAACATTCGGAAACTACCAGGAGAGTTGCTACCACGCGACGCCGACCGAATTAACCCATCTGGCATAGCAGACGACACGGATATTTCTTCTCGGAGCGACAGTGGAATGGATATTTCCACCAACAGCACTGCGGATGACGACCTTGAACCTTGGCCGGAATAGATCAAGCGTGCGACACAGCAGGCTGAACATCGCATTTCGCAGCTTGGGATCGATGAGTGGACCACCACGATCAAAAAACGCAAATGGGCGTGGGTACGCGAAATTGCTACGAACAGTGCCAACGAATGGGCACGACGAGTGCTACAGTGGGAGCCACAACGTGACACACACACACACATACGTACACAACGACGTGTTGGGCGGCAGAAGACCAGGTGGTGGGACGACATAGTTTCCTACATTAGACAGTGTGTTGAGGAAGCGCCACAAAATGCTGCAGGGTTGCTACGGCTCGCAGGGACTAACATGTGGAACAACTTGGAGACAGGGTATACACAACAATGACTGGTCAAGGCATCGACCCTCCAATTCCGATTATTGTTCCCCCTTATCCGACCCCTGCGTTGCCATTCCGACTCCAACCCCGCTTTCCCAGAATTTCATTTTTCCGACTGGATACCTCTCCGACTCCAGCTCTTATCTCCGACTCCGGCTCCAACCTCACCAACTCCAGCTCGTATCTCTCCGATTACATACCTCTCCGACCCTACGTTCTCTCCGATTCCGTTTCAGAAGATCGATCCCATTCTTCCGACTGCGGTTGCCCAATGTCGACTCCAGAGTCTGAGAGGCCAACATCGGCGCCCCGGCGCCCACCCGCTGCACCCGCGTAGGTGCCTTCTTGCGGGACTGTGTCCTGTGTGTGTCCCGTGTGTCCTGTGTCCTGAGGACGTTCCCGTTCGTGCCCGCTCGCGCGTGGCGCACTTCTGGCGCGCCCCAAGGGCACTTCCGCGGGTCCCAGCTCTCACTCGGCACTGTTTGGCGCTCCCCGAAGACGCTCTCGTGCGTGCCCGGCCGCACGCGGCGCACTCTGGCGTGCCCCGAGGGAGCTCGCGTGCGTGCCCGCGCGCGTTCGGCGCTCATGGGCGCATCCTCAGGACGCTTTTGCGCGTCCCCGTTCGCACGCGACGCATTCTGGTGTGCTCCGAGGGCGCTCCCGTACGTGCGCGCTCGCGCGCGGCGCACTGGCGCGCCACGCGGGCTTTCTTGCGCGTGCCCGCTTGCTCGCCGCGCATTCTGGCGCGAGGGCGCTTTTGGGCGTGCCCGCTCGCACGCGGCGCGCCCCGCAGGCTCTCTCGCGCGTGCCCGCCCGCACGCGGCGCTTCCCGGCGCGCCCCGAGGACGCTCTGGTGCGAGCCCGCTCGCACGCGGCAGTCATTGGTGCGCCCCGAGGGCGCCTCCGCGGGTGCCCGCTCGCACGCGGCGCTGTCTGGCGCCCCCCGAACACGTTCCAGTGGGTGCCCGCTCGTACGCGGCGCACACTGGCGCGCCCCAGGGGCGCGTCCGTGTGTGGCGGCCGCTCCCGCGCGGCGCTCCCAGGCGCGTCCCGAGGGCGCTTCTGCGCACAGCTCGCACGCGGCGCTCTCTGCTGACGTGTTCTCACGGAGCCCTTCCACACACTCTCTCTCACACACGCACGCACACACACACACACGCACACACACACACACACACGCACACACACACACGCACTCGCACACGAACACACACACACACACACGCACACACGCACGCACGCACGCGCACGCACGCGCACGCGCACGCGCACGCGCACGCGCACGCACACGCACACTCACACGCACACGCACACGCACACGCACACGCACACGCACACGCACACGCACAAACACACACACACACACACACACACACACACACACCGCGTGGCGCTTGCGCGGCGACTGCAGTTGACGTCTTTCCATGTGCCGACCTCAGCGCGAGACATGGGCGTAGCGCCGCGCACCGACCCCAGCGCAATGCATTGCGTTCCACCGACCATGCGACGCGCGATTCGTCCCCTGCGCGCGCGCGAGCGGCAACCAGGAGAGCAAGGTGCATGCTTGGCACCGCGCACCGATTGCTTGAACAACGCGGCTGCAGCTTATGTGTTCTCACGCAGCCTCCCTCCCCCGCGTGCTGGCTGCGAAGCGATAGGTTGGTTTTGCGACGCCGCAGGGACGCCCGCGCGCACTCGCACGCCACCAGACGCGCAGCGAGTTGCCACTCCGCTTGGCGCTAAGCGCCGACCGCCGCGCGAACATCGTTAGCCGAGAACGCTGCCGACGCCACGCGAGGAGTCATCCCGCGTGCGGTCGAGCGCTTGCCAATCGCGCTTGCCAATCGAGCGCCGACCCCAGCGCGACACATTGCGTTCCGAGATTGGGCCTCCCATTCGACGCGCGATTCATCGCCCGCGCGCGCGATCGCTACCCACTCGAACCAGCTTGGCGCCGCGCGCCGAGTCCAGCGGAGACCATTGCGTCGCCGAGCTTGCCGCCGACGCGGCGCACCCGTAGCCTGCATGGCGCCGAGCGCCGACCCGAGCTCGAACAATTTCGTCGTCGAAGTTGAGCTACTGTGCCACCGCGCATGGCCCGACGATCGCTCGAGGCATGGCCAACGAGTCAGCAATTGATACTTCAAACGCGGGTGATGATACGATGCTCAGCATTGCGGGGCGATTCCGCGGGGATGCGCATCGCCGTTGCACCCGGGGCCCTTTTAATAGGGGGCTGCGTGTGGGGTCGCCTTCGAAAAACGAGCCCACTCTCGGGCAAAACCGAGGCAAGGTGGGAGGGGTCGGACACGGGCATCGCGAAGCGCGCACAACGGCACCCCACCCCCCGCAGTTATCGTAACCATATGTTGTTTGGTTTGTTTGTTATGTGTTTCTCTCTCTCTCTCTCTCTTCCTGTCTCTCTCTCCCTCCCTCGGTCTCTCTCTCTCTCTCTTTCTCTCTCCCCCCCGTTCTCTCTCTCACTCTCTCTCCCTCTCTCTCTCGCTCACCTGCCAGTCTCTGCTGCTGCCCACCGTTGGGTTCCATTCGGCCTGCTGTGGGGTCTTCAGATTTCAGCGCGTGTCCACATGAGTTGGATCGTTTGCTCTGCGGGAGACCCGCCATTGCTGTCAAACGCTGATTTGTACCATCGGCGCGTCGGAGGACAGTGTACATATATATATATATATATGTATATATAAATATATGACTTTACTACCTGCGCCGCGCAGCGTCGCTGATTGCACATCGCGAGGGGCCTAGGTGGTGTCTTGAGCCAGCGCTCGGCGTGCCGCCGCCAGGTCACGACCTCTTTGTCAGGGTGGATTGGATCACCGATGCGCCGTCGAGTCTTCTGCGCTGCCCCTGCGCCCACTGCTCCAAAAAAACGCAGGCGTTGATGAAGGCGCGTGGGCTAGCGACGGGCCCCGTGTCCTTACCGACTCGGCGCGTTCCGTCGCCGGATGAGGCGGCACTGGCCTCAGGCTTGCGTATATGCCTTCCCGTGCGCGTGCCAAATCCACGGATTGTTAGACATGTTAGCGTGTGCCCCCCACGGGGGGGGCCGCTCGAGGAACCGACGCGCTTACAGCCCCCGCGCGCGTACCAATTTGGTGCACCGCGCGAGCCGGTGGCCCGCGCGTGCACCAATCGGGCGGGGGCGCCCCGATGCGCTGGCTCGTAAGCCCTCTGGGGCGGCTGGCGCCCGTATCGGGGTGGACCTGCCCCGAGGGGCCTTCAGGCGAGGCCCCCTTTCAAGGTGCAGGGCGCCGGCGAGTGGCGACGGAAACTTGTGGGAGAGTCTTGAGGCTGGCGGGGTCGATCGGCGGCTCTCTGAGGGCGGCTGGCCCCCGCTGCGGAAGAGCGCCCCTCCAGAGCGGTGCTCGTCGCGGGGTCCTCTGCCATGCTCGCGAAAAAAAAAAAAAAAAAAAAAAAAAAAAAAAAAAAAAAACCTGACGGAGCCGTGTGGTAGTTCTCGGCTTCTGAGGGCCCTCGCCAGGCCCCGTGACCGTCAAAAACGGCTCAGCATGAGAAGCCGGCCGTGGGGAGAGGGTCAGGGCTTCTGAGGACCCCGTATGACAGGTTGTTCGGTGGTTACCTCCTCAAGGTTTCTGGCCTGGGTCCAGATAGTTGAGCGGCTGGATCTCGTTTGCAGTGTTCGGTCAAGGGCAGTTCACCGCCCCGGGAAGCTCTAAAAGCCGGAACGGACCCTTAGCACAAGAGGGGTGATGGAGAAGCGGAGCATCAGCAGGAGGAGGGTGTTCTGGAGGAAGACCGGGATCGTACTATTAGAAAGGATTTTTTGGGATTCGTCCTGGCTTGAACCCAGACGCGATCTACCCAGAGGGCTGTTCGTGGTCCTGGTCTTGTTCGGATGGGGCTGGGTTGGCCTGGCCGCAGGTTCGATGCTGCCCTGTCTCGGCAGCACGTTCTTTCGATGCTCGTTTCGGGGACCTTTCTGGGACCCACCTAACGTATCTGTTCGACCCCAGCTCGACTAAAGTTCGACTCAGGCTCGACTCAGGTTCGACTCAGGTTCGACTCAGGTTCGACTCAGGGTCGCCTCAGGTTCGCCACAGGGTCGGCTCGCATCGACAGACGTTCGACGCAGCTTCGACGCACGAGTGGAGCGAGTGTTTCCAGGAAGGTCCCCAGAACGAGCATCCAACGTTCTCGGACTGTCAGATTGTGCCCATCCATCTCTGGACCTCCGGGAGGTCGCCTCCCTGTGTCCCCAGACATCCTCCCATGTATGTTTCAATGCGCGGCTCAAGAGGTCCTGACCCCTTCCCCATCCCAAGTGTTTCGCCTCGGCCCCGATAGAGGCTAGAGGCCCCAAGGAACGAAATCGAAGGAAAAGGCCGGGACTGAACCATTCATATTGTCTGAGCAGACCCCGCTCGCGGCCTCTCAAGCCTCGCCAGGCCGGGCCCGCAGAGATGGCGCAGCGCGCCCACCATGGGCGCAAAGTCCTCGACGGCGGCTGGCCACCGCTTCGCTGGCAGCCTCCGGCGTTCGAGCTCGCGCGACAGCGGTGATGGCGGGCGGGCGCCGCGTCCCGCAGCGGCGCCCACGGTGGAGGAGGCCCCTGGAGACTCGACGTCGCGACAAGTATGGTTCAGAAGGCCTCGGGCCTTCGGAGAAGCTCCGTCAGCCTTCTCCGAAGCCACGGAGGGCTCCTCAGAAGGCCAGATGGCCTCTGAGAAGCTCCACCCGCGCCTGTCTGCCCCCTCTCGCTTCCCCACCCGGTGCGCCGCCGAGAGGAACAGCGAGCCCCTTTCCGAACCCGCACCGTCCCTCATTTCAGCGCCTTGACTGCGCGTGTCCACCCCCCTGATCTGACGTCGCAATATCGCGGAAAACCGCGACCGCAGCCCTGGACATAATATTCCCGTTGCATTTTTCGAGGCGAGGGTCCCGGGGCCCAAAACCTGGCGCAAACGCTCGCGGTGGAAAAATTGCAACTCCGGGATCTCAAGGTCATGCTCGCGGCCCGGTTCGCGGACGGCGACGGCGCCGCTGGGGCGCCGCCGTTCTACGCGGTGGCGGCGCAGTGGTTCGACGCTTGGCGCCTGTTCGTCGCGGGCGAGGCGCAGCCGCCAGGGCCTGTGGCTAACGGCCCGCTGGTGGACGGCAGTGCGCCATGCGCGGGCGACGTGGTCGCCCAGACATCCTCCGAGTATGATGTATTCGACCCGCGGCCACAGATGCGAGGCGGGTAGGTATCCATATCCACCGCCCTGGGCCCAGATCATTGGATTGTTTCGGTCGCGATCGGGCCCAGTCCTGAAGCCGAAGCCGAAATCGGGGTCCAGATTGCAAACAACGCATCGTCGGAGGTCAAGGTCAGGGGAAGTGTTATTTGGGATAGGCTCAGGGGGGGGTGTATCGTCCACCACTCATGGGCCCGATAGCCCACCCCGCTCAAAAAATTATCGGCGAGGTAATTGCTCGTATCGCCGACTCCAGGCCAGTGTTTGCCCTCCTGAGCCTTTTCCCCCCTATCAATCCTCCTACTGTATGCCGACCGCTACCCCGGGGCCAGCTTTTCACCCTGGATGTGGGCCTGGTCGCTCTGCAGTGGGGCCCAGCAACGGGCCCCATGGAGGCCGAAACCAAGAAAGGATGCAAGGGCTCCCTGAGGTCCGACGTCGCGAAGAAATCAGCACCGCGATGAATCACGACCGAAGCCTTAGACCCCATCTTTCTGCGGTATCTTTCGAGCAGGATCGATCTGGGACGGTCCCGGGGCCCCAAACATTGCGAAAACGCAAAGCGCGACAACAATTGCAATTCTTGGGTCTCGGGGGATGTCCCGACCATTTCCTCCGGGTATTTTTTTGTGTCCCAATCCGTGTTTGCTGGTTTTGGGGCCCAGCAACGGGCCCCTGACGGCGAAATTTAGGACAACGCTATGAAAGCTCGAAGCCGAAATCGAGAGGTGGATAGAACAAAGCATACGTCAGCGATCAATCGGGGTGCCCCACATGGCGTGTGACCACACCGTGTGGTGAGTCAGCAGTGATTCGGGGTGACCGCACGGTTTTGGAACTCAGTTCGTTCTCCGAGGATGTCTCGGGCAATTGCGACCTCCAAGGTCCTGAAACTGTGCGGTGATAGACCATGCTGTGGGGTTTTGGGGGATTCCGAGGTGACCGCACGGTCGGTCACCACATTGGTGAACAAGTGCGAAATGGACCTTGTTACAAGAGCACAGACCGACCGACGAAGGGACGACACGACCGCGGAGGACGCGGGGAGTGGGGAGGGGGGCAGGGGGAGGGGACGATGGGGGGAGGCAAGCTAGGTGATATCGCGCAGTGTCTGACATCCTACCCTTCTCACCCATCCCTTCCTATTGCTGTGATCTCGCTCCTATCCGCCGACGCTTGTTACAGCGAGCCGTGAACTCCAAAAAGGACGCCATCGTGGCTTGCGCAATCGGAGAAAAAAGAAGGGAGTTGCGTACATTGAAGGAGGAGGTGGCGCATGAGCAGACCCGGACGCAGCGCGGCCCTGGACGTGTGCATAGGATCCCCGAACGCAGCCAACGCCCAAGGCGACGCTGCGGAGGCGGCCTTCCGGCGGAAGCTTCGGCGGTACCGGGGCGAGATACAGGAGCTCTCAGCAGCGGGCATCGTGTACAGGCCCCTCGTGTGGACCGCTGATGGGCGGCCGCATCCGGCAGTGACGCGGACGCTGGCCTACGCGGCCGCGAAGGCAGCGCGCCGGGGCGGCGTCTCCGCCGACGCGAAGCAGCTCCAACGACGCTGGAAGCACGAGGTGCAGGTGGCCATCCTGCGCAGGCGGGCCGCGATGGCACGGGCAGTGCTGCCTAGCCTGGCGCCCCGGGCAGCGCGGCTGCTCGCCGGGCGCGCCGACGGAGGATCGGGCGCCTGGGGCAGAGAGCTGCCGCTGGAAGAGGAGGAGCAGCAGCAGCAGGTGGAGCAGAACGAGGACGACGGGCGCGTCGACGAAGCAGGCGAGGAGGCGGGCGCGGAGGAGGAGCCCACGGCGGCACGCGGCTGAGGCCGCGCGGCCGCCGCCTTGCCATGCAGCCCCCCCTGCTGCGGCGCCAGAGGTTGAGGGCCGAGGAGGAGGAGGAGGAGGAGGAGGAGGAAGAGGAGGAGGAGGAGGAGGAGGAGGAGGCGGAGGAGGACGACGAGGCGGACGAGGAGGACGAGGAGGCGGGAGGGCGACCAGGAGAAGGAGGTGGAGGAGGAGGAGGAGGAGCCGCAGCACCAGGAATGCGACGACGAGACCTTGAGGAGGCAGCAGGAACACGCTGAGGAAGCCCTGAGGAGGGCGGCGACCAGGAGGAGGAGGAGGAAGAGGAGGCAGAGGAGGCGGAGGAGGTATGGAGAAGATGGGCCAGGTGGAGGGCAAGGAACAGATGGCGACGGAGGCCTTTGGGAAGGCCCTGCAGCAGATACCGACGATCCTGGCGGACAACAGCGGGTACGACTCCGCCGAGCTGGTCGGCCAGCTGCGTGCGGCGCACGCCAGGGGGCAGGGCTCGTACGGCCTGGAGTTCACCACCGGCAGAGTCGCGGACATGGCGCCGCTGGGCATCATGGAGTCTTTCGGGAGCAAGATCTCTCAGCTCTGCTCCGCGGCGGAGGCCGCCGAGATGATCATCCGCGTCGACGACATCATCAAGAACGCGCCCCGCCAGCGCGAGGGAGGCATGTGAGAGCGGCAGGGGGTGAACGATGCTCGACACCGGAAGGCCGCGGCCCCTTTGGGCTGGCCCTTGCCAGACCGCTGCCCGCGGAAGAAGCAAAAAAAAAAAAAAAAAAAAAAAAATGAGCAGAAGGAATAGGACGAGGATGGGATGAGGAAGGAAGAGACCGAGGACGAGCAGCAACAGCAGGAGCTGGAGTGGAATAAGCAGGATGAGTAGGAGGACCAGTGGAAGGTGGTCGGAGAGGAAAGGAGGGGGACGACAACGCTGATGAAGGACTTGCAACCAGAAAAATGGCCCGCACTGGGGCGAGAGCACCATTTTGAGCGTGCAAAGCGTCGATCCTAAAATGAGGCCAACGCTGCAGCATGAATACCGGAGCACCCTGCAGTTGCGGATAAGAGTGAGGGGGCGGCGGGGACGTCGGCAGTCTGCGAGGCTCTGAAGAGGCCCGTCGCCGGCGCAGAATTTTTCAAGCTATACCACGAGCCCGCCGCATTTGTGTTAAAGCAATGTGCATGGGTCGCGGGTTGGGTCGCAGGATGGTCGCGGGTGGGTCGCGGGTGGATCGCGGGCCGGGTCGCGGGTGGGTCGCGGGCGGGTCGCGTGGTGGGTCGCGTGGTGGGTCGCGGGTGGGTCGCGGGTGGGTCGTGGGTCGGGTCGCGGGTGGGTCGCGGGTTGGGTCGCGGCCGGGGCGCGGGCCGGGTCACGTGGGGGACGACGCCAAATAACAACAAACAAACATGAACAAAGAAACAACATCAACAAGAATCTGCATCGCGGAATCCCACTTCAGCCACGCACCCAGGGACAGTGAACGACCGTTCGGCCCCCTCACTCTGACCATGTTGGCAGACCGAAAATTGCCGGATCGCTAAGACCATAAAACAATCATGTTATAATATTGTTATGAACGCAATATGTGGAGAGGTGTGAACATCTTCCAGACAGTGTCAGGGGAGTGTCAAATTAGGTACGCTCACGCCATATTTGACATCCTTCCCATTGCACCCATCCCTCTTCATTACGCTGATGTATTATGTATCCGCGGACCCGTATCATAGCGGACCAGGATCTCCCCAAAAGACCCCAATGCGTCATGCGCAATCGGAAAGAGGGAGTTACGTACATAGGAGGAGTGGGAGGAAGAGGAGTTGAGGAGGTGGCGGATGAGCAGGAGGATGGGCAGGCGGGGACGAGGATGAGGAAGGAAGAGGACGAGGACGAACAGCAGCATTGAGAGCTGGAGTGCAAGGATCGCGAGGAGCAGGAGGACCAGGGAAGGCGGAGGAGGGGAAAAGGAAGGGTCGACAACGAGGAGGAAGGACTCGGATCCAGAGAAGTGGCCCGCGTTCAGGCGAGAGCGCAATTGCTGAACGAAAGGGACAAAGCGCCGATCCTACACTGAGGCCATCGCTGCAGCGGCAGCACCATTTTGAGACACCGAAGGCGGTTCGATTGTAAACAACAGTTGTTGAAAGCCTGTGTGCAAAAAGCAATACGCTGAGAGGGCCGATCATCTTCCAGGAAGGGTCAGGGGAGAGGGGAGAATAGCCCTCATATTGTGTAGTTGTGGGGAGGCCAGGAGAGGAGGGGTGCCAAGCTAGATGCGTTCCAGCCGCATCAGACATCCGATCCCTCCCATCCCTGCACATTGCTCTGATTGTTCTATCCGCGGGCACGTGTCATAGCCGACCTGGAATCCATTACCCCAGCAAACCACCCCAATAGCAGCAACGGTGACATGTGGAACCTGTGGAGCAGGTGGGAGCTGTGGCTGCTTGTGCGATATGTGGGACCTGTAGAACCCGTGGGACTTCTGTGGAACTTGCGGAGCATGTGGGAACTGTGGACTTGTGGGGATTGTGGATCTTTCGGGACTAGTTGGACGTGTCCAACCTGGGGGACCTCTGTGGTCTGTGGGGCATGTGAGACCTGCGACACCTGTGGGTCCTGTGGGACCTGCGGGACATGTAGGAACTGTGGGACCTGCGAGACCAGTGGACCCGTGGGACTGTCTGAAGGTGTGGGACCTGGGGGACCTCTGCGGGACCTGCGGGACCTGGCGGACCTGTGGGACGTATGGGATTTGCGAGACTTGCGACACCTGTGCGACCTGTGGAACCTCTCAGACTCGTGGTGCTTGTGGGACCTGTGGGACGACCGGGACGACTTGCGACACCTCTGTGTCCTGTGGGACCTGTTGCGAGGCCTGCGAGACCTGCTGGATCTGCGAAACTTGTGGGATCTAGAAAGGTGGCCCGCGCTGAAGCGGGAGCGCCATTCTGAATGACGGGAACGAGTCGCCAATCGGAGAATGAGGCCCGCGCTGGAGCGGGAGCACCGTTTTGAAGCACCGAAAACAATCGGGTCGCACAGCAAAACCAGATGCACAATTACCTAATTGAATTCTGTGTGCCAGGAAACAGTACGCGGCGAGAAATGGCCGTCTTCCAGACAACTTCAGGGAAGAGAGGAGAGTAGCGTGTCCATATCGAGTAATTGTAGAGTGGGGTCTGTCACCGCACGGTCTTGGGACTCCCAAGTCAAGGTCTGGGTCCGCGCGGAGGACTGGCGCCTGCTGCGCGCGCAGCATGGCGGCGGGCCCGTCCTCCGCCGGGCCTCCGCCGAGCTCTTCCCGCCCGCAGAACCGCCCAGCACGGGACCGCAGCTCACGGACGGCGGCGCGGGCGAGGCAGACGGGGCGCCGCTGGTGAAGTCCCAGATTTCCGACCATGTGGTGGTTTCCATCCCAGTGTTTTCTCCTCGATTTCGGCCTTTGGCGGCCGTTCTCGGGCCCCGGGGCCATCAAACATGGGTATGGGGCGAAGTAGCACCCCTTGGGGGAGTGGGTCGGCGCGCGTTGACAGCACAGCACTCCATTAGCAGCAAAAGTGACGAGGCGGGTCGAGGAGTAGGAGGTCTGCTACAGGGGACATATGTGCACCTTCAACGGATGGCTTTTAGCAGGGATCGCGGCCGGCCAGATCAAACATGTGGCCAGCATTGGGGTGAGAGCAGAATTCTTACACACATTGAGAGGAAATCTCAGGTGAGACGATTGCCAGACCCAACCTCCTGAGGCTCCCCGTCTCCTCTGTGGGATTATTTGGTGGTTCATTATTTAACTTCCATTAAGACCTATTTCTAGCGAGAAGGGACAACTCCAAGGAGGGCGAGTTGAGGCTGGGCACAGCTTGGAAAATTGATGTGTCCTGAGATCCCAGCGTTGCAATTTTTGTCACAACGGGCGTTCTTGCAGGGTCTCAGGCCATGGGACCGTCACAGATCGACCCGGCCAGAAACATGTAGCAGAAAGGTAGTCCAGGGCTCCGGTCGTGATTTTCCTTATGTTTTCAATTGTTCCGCAACGTCGGATCTCAGCTTGGACAGATGCGGAACAGGTACCGACATTGTTGCAAGTGATAGGATCGGGATGCTCCCTCGTTTTCGCATGTTTGGGCCCCCTGGGAGACCCTCGTCTTCAAGGCTGGATTCGCTTTCAAATCTGGTCATGGTGAGGGTTTCAAGGCGAGTCCAGAAAGCGTTGTGCAGCACGCACCCTGAGAGAGGTCCATGGAGTAGCGGTGGTACGTTTTGGCTTCCAAGCTGGGGCGGGTTCAGTCCTTCTGTACCCCGCTGGGGGAGGCCCATCGGCTCCTCAGACATCCCCAGGCGAAAACCTTTGTTTCGCTTTGTAGTATTATTTAGAACATCAAAACTCAGGTTTTCGCTGTTTTCGGTTTGCGGGGGCTTTGGGGCCGCCGAAAAATGACTCGCGACGACAAACCTGCCTTACAGTGGAAAGGCTCGGGACTTCTGGGGACCACGTATGGAACACCTCAAGATATCATGTCTCTGAGGAGCTGCAATCATGCACTACCCCTCTGATGGGGGCCGGTTGGCTCGTGAGGGGAAAACGACTATACCAGTAACACGTGGCCGTTGGGCGCCCGTCGGCGTGTTACTTCTTCGTGCTTGGCCGAAGGCCATGGTGCTTCTTCAGCAGTAGCACGCTGTTCCCAACGGTGGCGTGCCACTAATATTGGTCTTGCTCTTCTACCATATCGGCTCCGACCTCCCTCGCGACAGCTCGTCGGTACGAGGAGCCCCCCCAGGAGTGTTCAACTTGTCATAAACGCAATGATGACCCTTCACTTGAGTGACCTTTGGTGCGCGGCCTTTGGGGAGGGCAAGCCCGAGTACACAGGCCGCCACTGTCGCGTCGCATGCCACAAGACCGGCAAGCCGCGCATCGAAAGGTCATTCTTGCCCAGGGTCATTCTTGCGTGCAGCCGGTCAACCCTGACATCCGCCAGTATGATTGTTTTAAGCCGCGGCTCCCGAGCTCCCTAGCCTTCAGTGTTTTTGTCGCGGATCCGTTTTTGACAGCCCCAGGCCCCCACAACGTGCCCCAGAGGCCGAAACCGATGAAAAGTGTTGTCTGGGAAAGGCGCACAGTTCCAGAACGTGGCTCCCTGGGGCCCTAGAGGTCTGGACACCTTCCCAAGGACTGGTTTGTGCCCGGTCGTTTTTGACGGTCTGCGAGGCGGGTGAGGGCCCCAAGAGGCCGAATGTGACCAACAACCTCGGGCCGCATTTTTTTTCATGACGCGAGGAGTTCAGGCTCCCCTGAGATCTTACATTGCAGAACACAGCGAAAAGTCACGACCGGAGCCCTGTAGACTCAGTCTTTCTGCGGCATTTGTTGAGCTGGAGCGGCATGTGGGGGTCCCGAGTCACGAAACGGAGTGGAAACGCCAGATGCGAACAGAAAGCAATGCAGACCTCCGACGTCTCCGACGTTTTGATTTTTCCATGGCGTGGCTCTCTGGACCCCTTCCCTGGACAATTTTGGATCCTGCGTTTTTTTGTTGACGATCCCTGGACCCGGTGATGGCCCCCTTCAATCGGCAGAGTAGCCAACACACATTCCCGCGATGATTTTACCGCGACACCAGATGGCGGGGCTAGGACAGGGATAAATAGTAGTTGTCAAAGCGTTCCAGAATGTTCTCAGAGCGTTCCAGAGTGCTCTGGAACAGCCCCGACGCCAGATTCATCCTCCAGAACCGCCAGACTCCAGAGATCCCCACTTTCCGGTGCGTTTGTGTCCCTGTCCTGGCCTCGTCCTGCGCGAGGATGTCAGGCTCCCCCCAGGCCGGCGGCGGCGCCGAGGGGGAGCGGCTGCGGGCGCTGCTGCGCGAGGCGCGGGGCCCGCTCGCCGCGGGCTGCGGCGCCCTGGGGCGCGAGCTCGCTGCCGAGGCCGCGCACCTGCGCGAGGGCCCGTGGGCGGTCCGCGGCGGGCTGGGCGGCCGGCGGAGCGGCAGGCCTTCCGGGGCCCCCTAGCTCGGATCACCGCGGGGGGGCTGCAGGCTGCTGAGCGGATGTGACCTGGGGGCTGCTGAGTGGATGCGGAGGAGGGTCACATCTGACCTGAACCGGCAAGCCAGCTGGCAGGTGGGTTGCCAGTGCCCCAAGTGGCTCGGGGGGGGTTGGACAGGTCGGGTACGTTGGCGGAGCCCACTTAGCCTGGACATGAACCTCTCGTAGGCCACTTGACCTCAGAGGGTCTTTAATGATGGGGGGCCGCCCCCCCCCCCCTCCCCGAAGCTCTCGGCTGGGAGTAGTCGTCCCTCCCCTCCTCGCCCCTCCCCTTATCGCCCTCTTCCTCGCTCTCCCTCCTCGCCCTCCTCCTTGTGCTCTCCTCCTCGCCCCCGTTTCCCCTGCGATGCCCAAGGGATCCTTGAAGGGTTCCCAGGAATCGCCTTGGGACTATCCGAGGGACCTTTACATACATACAGATCTGCATGTATAAGCAACCATATGGCAGCATGCATAATGTACATGCGTCTCTGCATGTACATGTCGTAATGCATAAAGGTGGGTTAGATGGAGCCACCCAGTGTTCATGTGTATATATATGTATATACACACGTACCCCCACCAACATCTACAGCATCTACGCCATTCCCACGCACCCTGCTATCATGCACAGCTTCGCCATATTCGTTGTACGCGCCCGCTGACACCAACGATTTGCTGCTCACCACCATGGCTCGCCTGTCAGTTGTTGTTCGGTGGTGGTTCTTTCCAGCGGATGAATGCCTCATGGGCGACCATGCTCAAGAGAGGATGTTTGGGCTTCCGTGTGCAAGGGTTGAATCTTAATTCGCTGCATCTCCGATCGATTCGGTGTCGTCTTTGGCGTCGTCGTCGTGATCGTCGTCGTCGCCGTCTTCATTTGGTGTTCGTGCAGGTGACGTGCGCAGTATGATCTCACCATAACTGTGCCGAGCTTGTTCGGTGGTTGCCGCTCGTGTAATTATTTGCGCACTCGTGTTGTCCGTGCTTGGTATTGCTGGGTGGTTTTGTCTCCCATCTGATAATGTTGGTTGGGCTATCCTGCGCGACCGAGGATGTTCGAGCTTGTCTGTAAAAGCATTGACAATAATTCGCTGCACCTCGAATCGAGTATGCGCGTCGCCTTCGTCGTTGTCGTCGTCGCCATCGTCGTCTTCATATGCGAATCGAGCATGTAATCGTACGCGGTAAGAGCCCGCCATAGTTAAGGTGAGTTCGTTCGGTTGTTGCCGCGTGTGTGAGTATTTGCGCACTAGTGTCCGCCGTGCGGGATCTTGTTCGGTGTTTGCCCTTTCCAGCGGATGATCAGCCGTGGGCTACGCGGGAAGAATATCGAGCATCGTCGTGCAAGGGTAACAAACCCGCATTGTTTCGTTCCTGGTTGTCTTTAAGACTCTGCTCAGGAAGTCCACGATTCCCCAGGATTCCGTGGGATCCCTTGGAATCCTATCCTGAGGAATCCTTCGGACCCTTGGGGACCCTTAAGAATCTTTAGGGAATCTTGAGAATGTTCAGAAATCCGTCGGAACCCTTTGGAATCATACGAATCCCTAGGAATCCTAAGGAAATCGCAGGAATCCTACGAATACTTAGGAACCCAGCACTGGCCGCCTCGGGAGCGGAATTATTTTCCCAGCGTCGCTCTCGGTCCCAATCCGTCGATACGCCCGCGCAAGATTTATGAGCGAGTTAAGAGCAGTTCTAGCCCAGCTCAGCACAATGACCCGCTATCCACTTAACACCCCCCCCACGATGAACCAAGAACTGGTGCGGCGACCCAAGTTCAGAGGAGGAAATGAAGTCGATACTGTTGCTCGTCCTGGGGAGCTCTGGTCGCCACGGCTGGCTTCTCTTCGAATTTTGAGGCGCTTCGCGTATCCCCACGGGTCCGCTTGGGCCTGCGTGTCCTCTTTTATCGTTGCACCCTGGCCTGCGACTGGTTTCGGAAACGATGGCTGACGCACCGGCCCCACCACGGGCAGCGGTGTGGATCGTGGAGTGAGAGCTCTGTAGGTCCCTGCCTTTCCTTTGCCCCTGTCTCAGCCGGCCCCGCGTACGGCGGTGCTACCTCGCGCTGAGTGGTTCAACCTTCAGCGTGTCGCTTCGGTTCTACCTGTCCGCTTCGGCTAGGTTGGCTGCGCGGACTGGCGCCGACAGGGCGACTTTTCCGTTGCATAGCACTGCGGTCTGCTTCACCTCGGTGTGGCTGGCGCCAAGGTGCGTTCGCCTTAATGCGGAGCATTTTGCTCAGTGCGTGTGCACACCTCGCATTCTTTGCGAATTATTACTGCAGGTGCGTTGCCTGCTGTAGCTAATTAGCCTCGCCTGCTGGCCCAGACGACGCCTTCCGCTCCCTGTCCGCTGCTTCGGAGCCGCCGACCAAAAAGTATCCCCACGAGTCAGTGGCCTTTTTTTTACGCCTGTTTTTAGGTGGGCCTGTCGTCTGACTACCTTGATGGCGCGCGGCTGCCTGCGTCGCTTGCGATAAAGAAGAGTATCCTCACCAGCCCATCCAGAAACGATGTCCAGGCGAGTTGCGGTGATCAGGGAAGTGCTGGAGCAAAGAGGTGGACGGTCGAACCGTGCGAAGGAGAGAAGGGGAGAAGGAGGAGGCTGGATGGATGGATGAGGGAGTGGGGAGAAGGATGACGAATAGGAGGAGGAGGAGGAGGAGGAGGAGGAGGAGGAGGAGGAGGAGGAGGAGGAGGAGGAGGAGGAGGAGGAGGAGGAGGAGGGGAGGAGGAGGAGGAAGAGGCGGAGGCGGAGGCGGAGGCGGAGGAGGAGGAGGAGGAGGAGGAGGAGGAGGAGGAGGAGAGAAGGATTAGGAGGAGGAGAGAAGGATTAGGAGAAGGAGGAGGAAGGAGGAGCAGGAGGAGGAGGGCAAGCAAAAGGGCCAGAGGTCTCGTTGATACCTCTTCGGAGTCTCTTGGGATATCTCTTGGGCGTCTCTTAGAGGCCTCTTGGGACGTTTTGGGGGTCCCTCGGCGGTCCTGGGGGACTTTCGGGCGTCTTGGGTGCCTCGGGGGGCCCTGTTGGGGCCGCTTGGGGTCCTTTGGGGGGCCTCCTGGGGGCCTATTCGGGACCATATTGGAGCCATCTTGGGGCCATTTTGGGGCCTCTTGGGGCCTCCTGGGCGCCTCTCCGGGCTTGGCAACTTTTTCACAATGGGCGTTCTGGCCGAGTCTCGGGCCCCTGGACCCTCACGGATCGATCCCGCCGGAGAAATGGCGCATATAGATGGGGTCCAGGTTTTCAGTGCGAGTAGCGTTTGTATGCGATGTTGTAATGTGTTCGCGACGTCGGATCTCGTGGTGAGTCATTGGGGATTCGGGGTCACCGCGCGATTTTGGCACTTGGGCCGTTCTCCGAAGACCGCTCGAGCGGCTGAGGCCTCCGAGTTTCACAAAGCCGTGCGGTGACGGACCGTGCGGTGAAGCCTCTTTGGGGATCCCGGGGTCACCGCACGGTCTGCCACCGCACCGTTTCGGGACCCCAGCAGGCCCGCCGAGAGGGCGGCGGCGGCGGCGCAGTCCGCAGCGCGGTCGCGGGTCCTGGAGGCCGCGGAGTCGCAGTACGGCGGGGAGGAGCTCGAAGAAGGAAAATGGCTGCATGGGAATTGTTGTGCTTGAAGGAGTCCCAACCCGAGGGCGCGAGGCGGGATCATCAGGGAGCACCTGTCTTGTGGGAGTCCAAAGGCCGTGACATGCAGTCGCCACTTGTCGAAGCGGATCCTTTGGGGCCTGTCGGCAGCGGTAGTCAGTTTGGGTAAGGCGGTTCTGTGAATCTAACAGCCCCAACCTGTCGGGTGGGTGGAAATCATGACGCCCTTGGGGTTGAGGACCCTGGACAGTTTTGCACAAGCCACGATCGGGGGCCACGATGGTCACCTTTTGCATTGGGCGTTAGAAGAATTGCATGGGACCCTTACCGACAAGCTGTTCAGGGAAGAGTCTGGACAGATCTAAGTCTTCGGAGGCCCGCGTGGGCCTCCGCAAGCTGATGTGTATGGGTTGGGTCTTCATCGAGTTAGAGGAGCAACGGGTCATGATAGTGATACGTTCCAATGCTCAGTATTTCCATAATTCCCAAGATTGCTTGATGCTAACACCAGCTGCAGAAACGAGGGCCGCTACACGCTTCGCAACTCCTGCAAGCTCTACCTTCGAAGACTCAGCTTCTTGGGAGACGTTCAGAGCCTTCGGGGAAGGCCCGCCCCTTTCTGCCTTCCCCCCTCGGCGCGCCGCGCTGGCAGTTTGTGTGTATGTACATGGTCTTTGTATCTGCTTCTGCTCTTCTCATTCATCTTCTGGAGGCCCCTCTCCCTGGGATTGGTTTTCGTCCCAGGTCCAGTTCTGATGGCCCCAGGACCACCCGGCAATGGCCCACAGAGGCCGACATCGAGGAAAACCCGGCGGCATCGAACAAGTCCAATCGTTGCACATGTGTGTTTTGTCGTTCTTCTGGAGGAGCTCTGGTGGGGGTCGATCGGCCCATATATTCAATGCCTTGAAGTTCGCATGCAATACGGGGTCCCCCGTAGCCCTGCCCCTTTCCCATGTTTTTCGTCGCGGGGTGGTTTTTGACGGTCGCAGGGCCCGGCGAGGGCCCCCAGATGCCTAAATCTATGAAAACCTCAGCTTTCTGATGTTTTCAACGATTGCGTTGGAAATCTCGGTATGCACTTGCTCTTCTTCTGGAGGAGCTGAAGGAGGCCCTCGAGGCCCTGCGGCCGCTGGAGGGCGGTGTGAGCCTCCAGAGGCTCGATGAGCTGATGCACCAGCTGTGCGCGCTGGAGGAGGCGCAGGTCGCGACGGCCTGCCTGCTCCAAGCGCTGCAGGACTACGACCGCCTGGGGGTCGAGCTGTGGCTCGAGCAGGCCAGCGCGTTGTTTGTTCTCGAACCTCGAGCCTCGAGGTTTTCCGGGAGCCGTCGTTGGTTCCTGCAGGGTTTCCAGCCTGCAGATGCTCTCCAGCAGCTGCGCCTCGTCGAGTGCGTCCTGAATTCTACGCGTCGTGAAAAATAAGCATGGTGGGAGGTTTTTGGCGACTGTCGGCCTCGGGCCCTGGGACCTTCAGAGCACTATCCTGGAGGCAAAATCGATCTCGTGTAAAAACGACAAGGCTGTCGCCATGAGCAGAAGGACTCTTATGGCCGTCGTCTATTACGCAGCCGGGACTTCGTGGCCATCACCGATTCCCATGGCCTGGAAGGTGAGACGGCGATTTGGAGTTGCCCTGCAGATTGCACATCGTTTTTCTCCGGGCACGTCCACCCGAGCAGGCGTGGGGCTGATCATGAAGAAATCTTTCCTGGACCAGTTCGAGGCCGTGGAGCCGCGGTGGATCCATCTGGTCCCGGGCAGGGCAGCGCTGTTGCCATTGCTGCTGGGACTCTCGACATTCACGTCGTATACTTTGCCACTGGCACGCCAGGCATGGTGCAGCCCAGGGGCATGGCAGTCGACGGCGCTTTAGCCGCCAGCGTGAGGGAGCAGCGGAGCCACATGAGACGGGTCCTCTCTGCGGCCATGTCCCCAAAGGAGGATGTCTTGTCATTGGTTACGGGCGACTTCAACTGGGTGGCTGCCCCTGAAGACCGGATGGTGAAATCCACCGGCGAGTTCTCTGGCGCGGACGACGCCGCCGAGCAGAGGGAGGCCATGGCGACGCTCTGGAGCCCGGCCGGCTTGTACGAGGTCCGCCAAGACGAGCCCACGCACGAGTGCGCTCAGGCGTGGAGCCAGCTCGATCGTTGCTACTGGAATGCAGACTTGGCTGGCCAACTGGACCGCGACATCTCGTGCACTGCTCTTGAGTGGGTTCCACATTTGTCGGCCCACAGGGCCATCGCATTCGGCCGCCGCACCCCGGCCAGGCGAAAAGCAGGTGCCGCGCCGGTCCGCCCGGAGATTGTCGCCGTCGCCAGCTGGTCACTCCGCGTCGCGGCGGTGCACCAAGAGCTGCGGCAGTCATGGTGGCGCTCGGCCGGCGGCTCTTCCGCGGTCGATCCGGGGTTGCCCCCGGTGCCATCGTCTGGACATGGTGTGCCCCCTCTCCGAGATCTGGCTTTCCTGAAGCAGGCAATGAGGATCACGGCGGACTGGATGCTCCAGGAGTCTTCGACGACTGCGCCAGAGGCCTCGCTCGACGACAACGTGGGCCATACGTTGCGTTTCATACGAGCGGCAGAACGGGGAGCGACAGGAGTGATGCAGCAGTGCCTTCACGCATCCCCTCGCCTTGGCACCTTAGTCCCCTCGCCGCTACAGCTGGCCAGCGCTCGCGGCCGGCAACTGCAACCGTACCGACAGCTCGCCGTGGAGTTGGCGCGCGATTCCGCCTTGGAGGAACTCTCGGCCCTGCAGGCGCAGCGGGGGGATTTGACCGAGCAGGAGGTGGGCGTTCGTCGCAGCCGCATCCTTACCAAACTCAAGAAGCTCGCCCCCGGTCGCTCGGGCAGCCTTGCCGGCGTGGCATCGACGAGCGGAGACATCTTGACCGATCCGAAGGAGATGGCGGACGCTCTCAGACAGCACTGGCAGGACGTCTTCGCGCAGCGCCCGGTAGACGAGCAGCTCTTGGAGCAGTGGGTGCGGGACGACGCGCCGCCGCAGGTGCCGCCGCCTGACGCGGGCGCTTGGGCCCTCCGTCGTTCGCACGTGCAGAAAGCATTAGAGCAGTCTCCAAATTCGGCTCTTGGTCCAGATGGGCTCTCCTTCGCGGCGTGGCGCCGCCTCGGCCCGCTGGCCGTCGACGTCCTCTGGAACGCGCCCCAGGCCATCACGATGGAGGCAGAAGCCGAGTACTTCGAGGAGTTCATCACCACCTTCAACACCAGCCTCATGGTTTTCTTGCCCAAGGGCGCCGGCGCCACGCACCGCGGGCTGACCGACCACAAGCCAGCGGACACTCGCCCTCTGAACGTCGCTTGTTGCGACAACCGCGTGCTGGCGAACGCCGCGCGGATCTGCGTGGAAGAGCCTTTGGCGGAGGCGGTCCCCATTGACCAGCGGGGTTTTATCCCAGGGCGGTCAATGTTATCCAACGTTATCGACGTGGACGAGTGCATGATGACCACGGCTTTGCAACGAGATGAGGGGGCGGCTTGGTTCTTTGATTCCCAGGCCGCGTTCCCCAGCATCGCCCACAGCTTTCTCCGGCGCCTCCTCCGCGCGGCGGGGCTGCCGCTTTGGCTACTGCGCTTCGTGGACGTGCTCTACATGGAGAACCGCTGCGCGATGGTGGTGGGAGGGCCCGCGCACGGCGGCCTCCAATCGCGGGCGGGCATCCGCCAGGGGTGCCCGCTGTCACCCATGCTGTTTGCAGTGGCAGTCGATGCGCTATTCCGACGCCTCCGCCGCCTGCTGCCCTCGCTGGAGGCCCGGGCGCTCGCGGACGACATCGCCGCGATCACGCCTTCCTTCTTCGAGTCTGCTCCCGTCCTCCTCCGCATCTTCACAGACTTCGGCCGGATCTCTGGGCTGCAGTTGAACCTGCCAAAGACGGTCGTGGTGCCGCTGTTCCGCGGCGACCGGGCAGACCGACTGCGCGCGCTGCTAACGGCCCACCCCGGGTGGGGAGGCGTCCGAATCGCCGGGAGCGCCCGCTACCTCGGATTTGTCCTCGGCCCTGAGCGGGGTCACCTGACCTACGACAAAGCTTTGGCGAAGGTTCTCGACCGCGCCGCCTGGTGGGGCGCCGCGGGCGGGGGGCTGTTTCTGACGAGTCTCGCTTACACAGTGCACGTCACTTCTGTGCTGGGCTTTCTCATGCAACTACCGGGGGGCCCCATCCGCTGTTCGGAGTGCCGGGGCCGGAACGAGCCCGGGCATTGAATTCTGCCCCCGGCCCCCGGAGACTTGCAAGTCCCCCGGCTCCCAGATGCCCCCGCAGATTTTGCCGGCCAACTTGGGATTCCATGGGTTGACGCGAACACGCGCGCGCGCGCATGCACGCCGCTGACGCAGCCGCCGCTCCCGCCTGAGACGCCCTCACAACTGAGCCAGGGATTGCGCCCCCGCATCATGTCTGAAGTAATGGCAATATAAGTCTTAGGTATAGGTTTAGATCTAGGTTAAATATAGGTTTAGCTATTAGGCAATAAAGATTTAGGTCTTGGGTAATAAGGTAATATAGGTGTTCCAGGGATTGGTCTCAGGTAATATATAGCTTTAGGTATATATTCTCAGACGAAATGTCTCGAGCGGATGAAGAGGATCGATAATCGTTGATCGAGGATGTCTCAAGCGAAATGTCTCAAGCGAAATGCCGCGCGCGCATGGCGCGAGGAGAGAAGTAATCATTTCGACGTTCGTGGGTCGAGGATGTCTCAGGCAAAATCGTTTCCGTAGCCATTTGGCTCAAGAAACTATGGGGGCTAACCGGAGCCAGAGCGCGATCACGATGACATGGGGCATGCCATTGGAAACGGAACGCGCGAGTCACGCGGATGACGAAACCATGGATGTGCCAGCCAATTCTATTGCAGTTGCGCCAACGCGATTGCCGCTCAGGGAGAGGGTGTTCCCATATTACAAATTGGTGCTCACGGACCTAGTTAACCGGGACTACGACTTTGCAAAAGAAGGTGAACTGAGACTCCATCGAGTCACAAGTCGGAATTTGAAGGTGCTGTGTGATCGCGGCGCTAATGGGCCCTTCTATGGCGTCAGCGGGCTAGAAAGTCATGATTTCAGGTTCTACCCGCCAATTGTAAAAAGGCCATCCCATCGGACTCACATATTGGGGTTCACCGCGTTGGGAAAGCGCAGATCATCGATGCCATTTCAGGTTCAATCAAAACAGCCACTTCAAGACAACTCATTCGAGTCAATGTCCTGGGGCTCGCCATTGGCAATGGTATGCATGACGTTCTTGGAATGCTACAAAACGGAATTCTACCACCCGAAATGGAACACAAACTATGGCAAAGATGTCGACACTCGGTGTGAAAGGGCACTCATCGTATGCGAAGGGTATTTCAGAACATACAGGCCGATGACTCCAGGTACCGAACTACACGAGATCGACCAATGTCGCAATTGCGGTATATTGATCGCAATGCTGGTTCCAGAAAGATTCATGGAATGCGTGGTATGGCGCGGAGTCAAAGTCGACTTCGACATGACAATACTTCACGCGATGCAACAGATGGGTAAGTTTGAGCGTGCAATTGAGCTGGGATGGCAAACGTTTGCAATGTCGATGGAACTTCATCATCACGCCCACGAGGAGGTGGAGACGGCTGAAAACGCATGGCCGCCACTATAAGCGGCTGTTGCGAGGGCCTGGTGTACATTTCAATATATGATTCGAAGGTGTTGCTATATACGCTTCTCATACTGATATTTGGGAACGCATTACATTCGAATATGTTGCGGTTGAAACGTTCACCTCGAAGATGTTGCTAAACATATTTTTACATTCGAAACTGTTGTTATCGCATCATGATGATAATCCGCCCGATGGTTTCGATTCGCAAGTCAACTCGAAGATGTGGCTAAACATTTCAATGCCCATTAATTTCGAAGATGTTGCTATACCAATGCATGGTAAGAATCGGGCGTGGTGAACTGGTGGCAAGCACTTCAATGTACATTCAATTCTACATCTGCTATGGAATCTAGCTGGCGCATGTGGCGCCATCGCTCCCCGCGCGTGCATTCACCTGTATATCGCAAGTTTTACGCGCGCCCTGCGTGCTACATGCATGCACTTGAAATGCCGCTGCGGACGCGGCTGCGAGTCCGCTCATGTTTCAAAAAGAATACACCCCGGGGTCCACTCGCGAGCTGCGTGCAACCGTGGCGACGAGAGGGGGGGGGGGGGGCGAAGGTCAGGGAGCCTCCGAAGACCGCCGAGACCCCCGAGACCGCCGAGACCGCCGAGAAGACCGCCGAGACCGCCGAAGACCGCCGAGACCGCCGCGAATGCGAGGGCCGCCCAGGACCGCCGAAAGCCGCGATCCAAAGCCTTATAGACCGCCGAAGGCCGCGTTGTCGAATGGAGCCCAAGGCCGGCCGAAGAAGGCCGCCGAAGGCCGCGACCCGAGGGCGCCCACGTCCTCTTCCTCCCCCCCCCCCCCCCCCCCCCCCCCCCCCCCCGACCGTTTTTTTTTGTTTTTTTTTTTTTTTTGCGCGTTCAGCCCGCGGCCCCGAAAGCCCCGGCCAGCCCCCAGCGTCCCGGGCCCGCTTTGATGGGCCCAGGGCCCGAAGTCGGCCAGGACGACATCAAAGAAACGAAAGGAGTAGGAGGAGGAGAAGGAGGAGTAGGAGGAGGAGGAGAGTAGGAGGAGGAGAAGGAGGAGGAGAAGGAGGAGGAGGAGGAGGAGGAGGAGGAGGGGGAGGAGGAGGAGGCGGAGGAAAAGTAGAGAGGAGTAGGAGGACGAGGACGAGGAGGAGAGGAGGAGGAGGAGTAGGAGGAGGATGAGGAGAAGGAGGAGGAGGAGGGGGAAGAAAATGAGGAGGGGGGAAGAAAGACGGAGGGGGAGGAGGAGCCGCGCCGCCAGCCCTTTTGGGCCAACGCCCCCCTGGGCGGCTCCGGGCCGGCGCCCTGCGGCGCCCGCGCCATCCTGGCGTCGGCGGGGCCAGGGCCGCCCCGCGCGCGCCGCGCGGGGAGGAGGGCGAGGAAGAGGATGGGAGGAATAGCAGGGGGAGGCGGGCGAGGAGGAGGAGGAGGAGGAAGAGGAGGAAGGAGGAGGAGGAGGAGGAGGACGAGGAGGAAGAGGAGGAGAGGAGGAGAAGGGGGAGCAGGATGAGAAAGGGGAGAATGTGGAGGGCGATGGAAATGAAGAGGACGAGGACGAGGAGGAAAATGATTAGCACAGGGCGAAAAGAAGTGGGATGGGGAAGGGCAAAAGCAGCATGAGCAGTGCAGCCGCCGGATCAACAGCAACCATTCGGAGGAGGGAGAGCAGCAGCATCAGCAACGGCAGCAGCAGCAGCATCAGCAGCAGCACCAACAGCAGCAGCAGCAGCAACAGCGCCAGCAGCATCAGCAGCATCATCAGCATCAGCATCGGCATCAGCAGCAGCAGCAGCAGGCAGCAGCGACAGCAGCAGCGGCAGCATCAGCAGCAGCAACAGCAGCAGCAACAGCAGCAGAAGCAGCAACAGCAACATCAGCGCCTCCTCCTCCCTCTGGTCCCCGTGGCCATCTTCGGCTTGAGTCGTCGAGGTTGGACGGGCCCAGCAGGCCCAGGTCCTTTTTATTCGGGGGTGGACAGAACCCCCAACAGGGACACGTCGATTAGTGAATTGTCCGTCTTCGGTTCTCGAGAGGGCGCCGTGGCCGTTATTTTCCAGGCTTGCGCCCGCCAGGTTTGGGCCTCAGGTCGTTTTCACTAAACCACGTTTTATTAAAAGGGGGGTCTGTCAATCCCCGATATATCCAGCATGGGGGGGCTGGCAACCGACTGGCGATCATCAGCTGGCCGATCAATCCCATGGACTCGAGACGATGTCAGAAACCTTGCCCGCGCCACCGCCAAGGCGCTTCCCGCCGCAACCAAGAAGGCAGTCCGAGCTGGCAAATTCACGAACGCCAACATCTTCGCGCTGCAGGAGCGAAGGGAATGGGGAGGAGCAGGAAACGGATCGAGGTGATGATGATGAGGAGGAGAAGGAGGAGGAGGAGGAGGAGGAGGAGGAGGAGGAGAAGGGTACATATGAGAAAGAAGAGGAGGGCGAGGGGGAGGGGGAGAGGCGGCAGGAAGAGAGAGGGGGGCGAGGAGGGCGAGGAGGGGAAGGAGGAGGAGGAGGAGGGGGGGGAGGAGGGTGAGGAGGAGGAGGACGAGGTGGAGGACTGGGGCGGTGTCCTCCACCTCTTCCCCCCCCTCATGCCGCCCCCCTCTCCCCCTTGCCGAGAATAAGATGCGCGTGAATATTGTTTGCAAGGACTTGGAGAGCAACGAGCCGTTCATCGCAGCGGCCCTGAAGAGCACGCGTTTCAAGAGCTCTTACTTCTGGGCCGACGTTTTATTGATGCTCAACTTGTGGCTGAATAGTAGCTTGCTCAACGGTTCGGATGATCAAGAGGTTATGCTTAGCGCACTACGCGAAGGCAAGACGTGGCTGAAGCTTATGCAGTATCTCGCGTTGCGGACGAGCAAATCAGGCGTGCGCCGCACATCGACAACGGCCCAGAGGTTGAAGAGCCTGTTCAAGACAGCCGAGCCGATGAAGTCCAGGACGCCCACGAAGAAGCAGAGCGACGACGCCGAGGGCGACGAGAGCTCCAGCGTGGTCAGCAGTGACTCGGAGGAGGCCGGCAACGTGGAGGCCCGCATGATGCTCGGCGACGAGAGCTCCAGTGTGGTCAGCAGTGACTCCGAGCTGGAGACTGACGAGCGCAAGCTGGATGACGACATCGGCGTGGACGGCGACGGGGGCCCCGGCGAGCCCGCCGGCGCCCCAGGCAAGGGCGAGGTCGGCGAGAGCGAGCTCGATGGCGGCATCAGCGAGGACGGTGACGAGAGCTACGACGAGTCAGGGGGCAAACGCACGGTCAGCGGGATCATCAACGAGATCGTCAGCAAGATCGATGGCGGCATCATCAGCGAGGGCGGTGGCGAGAGCCCCGACGAGCCCGCCGGCGAGGCCCCAGGCAAGGGCGAGGTCGGCGAGAGCAAGCTCGATGGCGACGAGGGCGGCGACGAGAGCCCCGACGAGCCCGCCGGCGAGGCTCCAGGCAAGGGCGAGGCCGGCGAGAGCAAGCTCGATGGCGACGAGGGCGGTCACGAGAGCTCCGACGAGCCTGCCTGCGAGGCTCCAGGCAAGGGCGAGGTCGGCGAGAGCAAGCTCGATGGCGGCATCATCGAGGACGGCGACGAGAGCTCCGACGAGCCCGCCAGCGAGGCTCCTGCAGGCAAGGGCGAGGCCGGCGAGAGCAAGCTCGATGGCGACATCAACGAGGGCGGTGACGAGGTCTCCGACGAGCCTGCCTGCAAGGCCCAGGGCAAGGGCGAGGTCGGCGAGAGCAAGCTCGATGGCGGCATCATCGAGGACGGTGACGAGAGCTCCGACGAGCCCGCCGGCGAGGGGGCCCCATGCAAGGGCGAGGTCGGCAAGAGCAAGCTCGATGGCGACATCAACGAAGACGAGTCGGGGGACGAGGGCGAACCTCTTCGACAAAGGGGCGGGTCAGGAACCACGAGCTCGTTATTTAATCGCTTCGCTCATGCCGCCGGCCCTGGAGCCCTCTTTAGGGCCTCTCGGGGGCCTCTTGGGGACCTCTTGGGAGTCTCTTGGGGCTCCTCGGCGGCGTTTTGGAGGCCCCCAGGGCCTCTTGGGGGGCTCTTGGGGGCAGTCGATTGCGGCCCCCCCCTCGGAGGCCGCGATCCTCGCGAGGGGTGTCGAAAAATGCCCTCCCCTGGAGTGGTCTGGCGGCTTCTCCCGGGCTTCTCTCGGGACCTTGCCGGGGCACTTTTCGCCCGGGGGCCCCCGGGGGCCGCTCCGCGCGCGCGAACTAGAAATATTGTTGACAAGTTACCGGAGATCATAGCACGCCTATGGCCCGTTGGGCCGGCGAATTTGGCGTGGACCCTGCGATCTTCGAGCGCGAGTCCAAGGAGGAGCTCGAGTGCGGCAAGGAGCCCGACACCCCCGACGAGGAGCTCGATGGCGAAGAGTGCTCGGAGGGCGAGATCGCGGAGCTCTGCCCCAGAAAATCGGACACCGAGGACACAAGGAGGATGGAGGAGGGCACGACGGGGAGAGGAGGCTGAGGAGCAGAGGGGGGAGGGAGGCAGAGGTGAGGTGCATGGATGGGGGGGGGGGGGGGGAGGTGGAGGAGGAGGGGGAGGTGAAAGAGAAGAGGGGGGAGGAGGAGAAGGAGAAGGAGGGAGAGTGGGAGGAGGAGGGGGGCGACGAGGAGCAGGGGACGAGGAATTGGAGGAGGAGGAGGAGAAGGAGGAGGGAGGAGGAGGAGGGGAAGGAGGAGCAGGAGAAGCAGGAGGAAGGCCAGCCCCCCGCCAGGACGAGCTGTTGGAGCCCGACCTTGGCTTCAAGACGCCCGACCCGAAGTGCCCCCTCACGCTCTCGAGTGGATCGCCTACCCCGCCGACCACGCCCGCCGAGCTCAACGAAATGGGCGCCATCAAAACCAAAGCCAAAGCCAAGGCCAAAGGCCGAGGCAAAGTCTGCAACGGAGCAGAAGCGGAAGCCACGGACAAAGCCAGCGAGAAGTGGAAACACGACAAGCAAGCATCTTTCAAAGTGCACCGCGGCCAGAAGCAACGCACGGAAGTCCCGGAGGTCGTGAAGCCAGCCGCGCCCACGAATAAGGACTTCGCGACCAAGTTCCACGATTTCGGCCTGAGCGAGATTGGCACGCCCCTCTTCGCGCGCCCACCGGTCGCCACAGTGGAGAAGTTCCGCGGCGCGCAGAACTACGCGGTCTACTCTGAGAGCGGGGCCGTCGTCAATGTGTTGCTGAAGTGCAAGGCGTTCCGCATCATCACAAACCCGCTGTCATCGCAGCCGCCCTGCCCCAACTACGGATGGGCCAAGCACGGTGGTGCGCAGCAGGCGCGGGACCTCTGCGCCAGGGCGCGCGGCTTCGACGTGCCGATGATCGTTTAGGCCTGGAGCCCGAGACCTCGCGCAAGTAAGCTCGCCACCGCTAGGGCGTGGCAACTGGGGGATATCTTAGCTCAGTAGGGGACGCGCTGCGGATAGAGCTGGAGAGAGGAGGAGGGGGGGGGGGGAAGGAGGAGGAGGAGGAGGAGGAGGGGAGGAGGAGGAGGAGGAGGAGGAGGAGGGAGGTGGAGAAGAGGAGGAGGAGGTTGTGGAGGCCCTTATCCTGCCTCCTGCACCCTCCTCCTCGACCAACTCCTCCTCCCCCTCCCCCTCCCCCCCCTCCTCCTCCTCCTCCTCCTCGTCATCGTCATCGACAGCAGCAGCTGCATACTCGCCGCTGTCATCATCATCAGCAGCATCTTCAGCACCGTCATATCGTCATCATCAACATCATCTTCAAGTTCATCGTCGCCCGCATCGCCATCACCATCATCACCGCCATCGTCGTCATCATCATCATCTTCAACAACATCCATCATCATCATCCGCATTATCAGCATCGTTGTCATCATCGGCATCGTCATCGGCATCGGCATCATCGTCGTCTTCGTCGTCGTCGGCATCGTCGTCGTCACCACCATCATCATCATCTTCAGGAGGAGGAGGATAGGATCCCCCTTCCCCTCCTCCTCCTCCTCCTCCTCCTCCTTCTCTCTCCCCCCTCCTCCTTCTCCTCGTCCCCCTCGCCGTTATCCCCTTCTGCTTCCCGTCGCCCCCCTCCCACCATCCTCTTCGTTCGGTTCTCCCTCCTCCCCCTCCTCTTGCTCATTCTCCTCCTCGTCGCCCCCCTCCTCCTCCTCTCCCTTCTCTCCCCAACATCAATGTAGCACGATCTCCTAAGAATGTCCGATGCACTTCGGCGCCTGCTGCTAGATGGGCGCGCGGGGCGCGCCATTCCATGGGGCCGTGCACGGCCGTCGCGAGGTCGGGAAAGGAGCGCGGGGGGGGTCGGCGGCGCGGGGCCCTGAGCCCCGAGCCCCGGCGGCGGAAGGGCATGTTTCGGGAGGGATGGCGAGCGCAGAGGAACCTCTCCCCCCCCTTCCCCGCCGACCCCCCGACGCCTCAGAGACCATTTGTTGGGCCATCTTGGAGCCATCTTGGGCCGTTCGCGGGGCCGTCTTGGCTGTTTCTGGGGCTTCTAAGGCTGTCTTACCGGCCGTCTTGGGCCCCAAGGGCCCCGAAATCCAACTCCTCGCCGGGGAGTTGGAATCGGGGCCCTCTTTTCGGGCAGTCTTGGAGCCATCCATCCGGGAGCCATCTTGGGCCGTTCGCGGGGCCGTCTTGGCCGACTTCGGGGCTTCTAGGGCTGTCTCATGGGACGTCTTGGGCCGTTCGCGGGGCCGTCTTGGCCGACTTTGGGGCTTCCAGGGCTGTCTTGCGGGCTGTCTTGGGCCCCGAGGCGGCTCGTGGAGGTCCCCGCAAAGGCCTTCCGAGACCATTTGTTGGGCCATCGTGGAGCCATCTTGGGCCGTTGTTGGGGCCATCTTGGCCGTCTTTGGGCTTGCCGCGCTGTCTCGCGGGCCGTCCGGGGCGCCAGGGCGGCTCATGGAGGCCAGGGCTTTCGGGCCAGAGAGCTATATAGGCTATAGGGCTATAGTGCAATGGGGCCATCGAAATCCCGAGGCGCCTCAATGAATCCGCAAAGGCCCCTACACAGGCAAGCGCTGACTAATTGGTGAATGTCCGCTGCTGTTTCGTGCGCAAGGCCTAGCATTTTGCAGATGGCCTGGCGAAGGCGCCCCTCGGAGCCCGAAGTGCCGAGCACCGATGCTTCCACCGCCCCCTCCCCCTCGCCCTTTGCCCCGCCCCCCGAGGAGAGGGCGGGGGAAGGGGGAGGGGTGGGGGAAGCGTTGGCGGCCGGTACTTTGCGGCTCCGGGCTGTCCCGGCACGGAGCAACGCCCGCGACCGCGATTCGCCGCCGCCGCCGCAGCAGAAGCAGGAGCAAAGTACCTGCACAAGTACAGAGCTCGCATGATCTCCCCCCAAGCTCACCCTTCTTCTCGAGACGCTGATCACCATCGGGGCCCCTATGATGCCGGTGTATTCGTTGCCGCGCTTCTGGGCGAAGCTGTCGGAAGCTGGAGGCGCTGGGGCTACGCGCTTCCTCGAAGCGTTCGCTGGCAATCGAGAGGTCGGGAAAGTGAAACGCGTGCCCCTCTCTTTCTCCTCCTCCTGCTCCTCCTCCCTCCCCCCCCCCTCCCTCCCTCCTCCTCCTCCTCGTCCTCGCCCTCCTCCTCCTCTTCCTCCATCTCGTATCTCTCGTCGACGGATCATGGGCATCCCTTCGCCTTCTCTTCCTCCACCTTATCCCCCCCCTTCCTCCCCAAGCTTGTCCTCGACCTCGTCACCAATGATAGGTGGCGAGGTGGAGGACGAGGAGGGATAGTATCCCTCCTCGTCCTTCCCATCCTCCTCCTCGCCCCCCTCGCCCCCCCTCGACCTGGCCCGCGAAGGTCACGAAGGCCTACAGGAGAGCGGGTTTACCAGCCGTGGCGTGCGAGATTCGTGACAATAAGACGCTCTGTAATATGATCGGCGGATGTGGATTCGCAGCAGCTCTCATCCTCGTGCTTACAATAGCTAGTGACGGTGGCTTTTTCGCCGCCCCTGTCTGCTCGTCGTGGGCGTGGCTCAATCGCGGCACCAGTCGGAGGGCGATCTGTGCACCTCTAGGTGATATCACTGTTGAGTCTGTCGAGGCAGGTAACGTCCTGGCGTCGAACGTTGTCTTGCTGTGCTACCTAGCGTCCGCGATGGGGGTGTTCTGGACGGTTGAAAAGGCGACGCGTTTGTTTTCTTTTGTTTTGTCTTTGCGGGGGCCCTCGATCGCCGAAATGGATTCGTCTCGAAATTATGTGAACGTCGTCGTCGTCGTGTGATACTAAACGGCTGCAGCCTCTGGGGTCTCTTCTGCAAGACCATCCACGCTTCGCTGATCTCATTCAAAATTTGGAAGTGTGGCGGACGACGGTGCGGATGGGTGACTTCTTGGCTCCATCTGCTAAACCAACATGGTTATATTCCAATGCCTCGTGGATCGGATCCATCTCAGGATGCGCGCATATCAGAACCAACGGGCGCGTGAACATGGGCGTGGAGATGCACAGGACCGCAGCTCGAGAGGATGGGTCGACATACGTCGAAGGTGGGAAAGACCTTAAGCAATCACAAGCCTACCCGAGGTCCTTCGGATCTTGTTTCTGTCGCATGCATGAAGGTCATATCAATGATATCCGCGGGGCACGCAAGAGAACGTTCGATAAAGTAGCCGCCAACCGCCACTGCATAGATCTGGCAAGCTGTTTGCGCCAGCCGCCTGCAGACACTTGGCCGGACTCTAGCATTGCCAAGGCGCTGCGGCACGTTGGCGCAGCCTAGCTCGCATGGGGGAGGGGCAGACGATAGGGGGGGATAAGACGGGAGGGGGCTGGGTAACCTCTCCCTCGTTCCGACGCCGCACTCCTCCTCGCCAGCGCCCCTGCAGGCGGCTGTTTCAGGCCCAGTTTCGAATAATGGAGCCGTCTGCGGAGGGGATCATCATCATATCTTGCGCAGCCGCCCCGGCGCGCTCGCGCATTTATTGAATTTCGGGGCGGATCCGAGCAACGAGTCGGTTTCACTAAGCGCGATTGGGGAACCACGACAGTGGTGCAACGTTCATGGTAAAGACGCATGGCCATGCATCGTCACCCCGCTTCCTCCCCCTCCTTTCCCTTCCCTCCTCCCCCTCCCGCTCGACCTCCCGCTCCTCGTCGCGCCCTTGCCCCCCCCCTCGCCCCCCCCGCTGTTCCCCCCTCCCGCGCCCCCCCTCTCATGGCCCCTTCCTCTTCCCTTTCTCCTTGCTGATCTTCCATCCCGACCTTCTCCTTGTCACTTCCCTCCCCCCCTACCTCCTCCGCCCCCCCCCCCCCCCCCCGCCTGCCTACCCCCCTCCTTCTCTACCTCCCCCCCCCTCCTTCTCCGCCCCCTTCGAGCCCCCCCCTGCCCCCCTGCCCCCCCCCCCCCCCCCCCCTTCCGCCGACCCTCGCCGGCGGCGCGGGCATGAGCGGCGCACGCCTCAATGTCGATTGGGCGATGCACTCCGAGCCTCCGCCCGCCGAACGCGGCTCCGACGAGGGAGAGGGCGAGGAGGAGTAGGAGGATGATGAGGATGATGACATGAGTGAGCAGGAGGAGGGTGAGTAGCGTCGGGATGACGAGGAGGGGGGCGAGGGGGATGAACACTGCGCGCCCCATGAGGATGGGGGGGGGGAGGGGGGGGAGGAGGAGGAGGAGAAGGAGGATAAGGAGGGGGAGGACGACGGGGCGGAGGAGGGGGGGGGGGGGAGGAGGAAGGGGCGGAGGGGAGGACGTATTAGCAGAGCAGCAACTCGTCGATGCCGATGCGTGCCTGTCGTGGTATAGTTTCGGGGCCCTGGCGGGCTTGTGGGCCTCCTGCAGGCATGGGCGGCCCTCGTCGCCGCGGCTGGATTCACTTCGGAATTCTGGTCAGGACGCGCCGTGGTCTGCGAAGTGGCGGCGTCGGCATCTCCGAGGTCCTCGCGGCGTTGCGCGGGGTGGGGGCGAGACTCCCAACATGCTGGCCCAAGATGCCCTCTCGCGGGAGGGCGACGCCTTAAAGGCGGCCCGCGAGAGGGCCCCAAGACGGCCCACGGGAGGCCGCGTGCCCGCGAAATCCCGGCCTCATGCCCGCGAAATCCCGGCCTCGAGGCCTCGGGGGGCCTCATGCCCGCAACACCCCGGCCTCATGCCTGGGAAATCCCGGCCTCCTCCCCGCGAGATCCCGGCCTCCAAAGCTCCCTCTAAGCTCCTTGCTCCTCCTCCTCCTCCTCCCCCATCGCTCCCCCTCCTAAGCCCCCCCACCTCGCGGGGGGGAATGGTGACGGGAGGGGGGCAATGGGGAAGGAGAGGAGTGGAAGCGAAACGCAACGACACTTAGCGTAACGAGTCGCGATTTTAGAGACCGGGATTTCGCGGGCATAAGGCCGGGATTTCACGGTGC